TTTTGGAGTTTTTAGAAAGTTCCGAATGAGTGTTGAAGGCTCTAACCGTGCAGTTTTCATCTAATAACAAAGGCTTTCAAAGAAGGCTAAAGGTACAACACAAGCTTCTACGTAAATTATTACATAGTGGCCAAATTTAATAAACATTCCTTTGATGAGGTCTGTTAAATTAGTAGTGGAGTTCAAACTAGTAATATCCACATCTTTTTGTGCCAAAAGTGGTTTGGGGGAGAGGCTGGTGGTGGTGGTCAACATTTCATTACAATAAAATGCTTAATCTTTGGCATTTCAACCAAATTTAATGGGATACTTATTTAAATAAGGTTGTTCACTATCCTCCTAGAATAGTCACTGCTATAAAGCAATAAAGCGTATGTTCTTTAGGCGCCCATGGCCCGATTAGTAAAAAATTTAAAGGCGACATCTTTGCTAGTTTCTTCAGATTGTAATTGTTTCATTTTGAAAAAATTAACTTGAATATTGATCTTAATGACTTTTTTAAAAATAGTTTTCCTGTATTAGCGTCAACTTAATTCTTCCATTTTGGAATGGGGATCCTATTTTGTTTTAATTCATTTACGAACAAATATTTGATATTGGTGAATAACTTAAAAAAATATCGCTTAAAAGTTAGATTTGTTTTTAAATCATGTGTCTTGGCTTTGATCAGCTTGAATATCAACTGAAACGGAATTGGCGCAAATTCTATATTTACAAAAGTTATTAGAAATATTCTTTTTATAGGAGAAGTTGTTTCTCTAAAATTGGTTCTTTCATGAAGTGTTTTTGACAGCGCCCTTAATTCACGTGTAAACTCAGTGGCGTAGCGAGGGGTGCGAGGGGGGGGGGGTGCGGACCGCACCGGGTGACACCAAACCTAGCTACGCCACTGTGTAAACTGATGCCACTACAGAAGTTTTTTTTTTCCGAATGTACAACAGAGTAACGCCGGATATTTGGCTAGCGTATATATATCGAAAATTAAAGTGGCCTGAAATTGTAAATGAGTAGAAATATAGTTTTGGATTGTAAGTATCAAATGATCCAGTAAGCTAACAACTGTAAAATTCCAAGGCAATCTATAACCTCATTCAAACTAGAAATTCATTCAACCTGGAACTCATTCAAACCTAAAAACTCATTCATCATGAAAACTCATTCGACCTGGAAATTCATTCAACCTAAAAACTCGTTTAACCTAAAAACTCATGTAACCTAAAAACTCTTTCAACCTAAAAACGCATTTAACCTAAAAACTCTTTCAACCTAAAAACTCATTTAACCTAAAAACTCTTTCAACCTAAAAACTCATTTAACCTAAAAACTCATTTAACCTAAAAACTCATTTAACCTAAAAACTCTTTCAACCTAAAAACTCATGTAACCTAAAAACTCATTTAACCTAAAAACTCATTTAACCTAAAAACTCTTTCAACCTAAAAACTCATGTAACCTAAAAACTCTTTCAACCTAAAAACTCATGTAACCTAAAAACTAATTCAACCTAAAAACTCATTTAACCTAAAAACTCTTTCATCCGGATTAAGCATTTTGTTCCCCTCTTGATTATCTAAAACAAAACCATGAAGAACAGAACAAAGAACGAGGCGTGTGGCCGAGTTAAGAACACAAGTCAAGTATGCGTAAGAAAATCGGTTTAAAAAAAAAGAAAACACAACAGATCTCTACTTTGGCATCACAAGGAAAACTTTTCTGCACTTGAATGTATGTCACCTGGCTCTATCAACCATTGCTCACACATTTCGCCGCAGGTCCGCCAAAGCTGAGCAAAGAAACTCAACTCTGTCTCAAGGGAGGGCATTTAAATCATTACCAAATCGATTTCCCGGCCTGATTCTCGACAGTTCATAATTAAACACTGCTAATTTAACGTAATAATGGAGACAATGATACAATGCAAACATAATAATGGATTTTTAACATTAATTCAGTCTAGAATGTTTTACTTGTTGGCTATTAAATTTTCCCGAAGAATTAAAATAATAACGACAGTTTTTGGCTTTATTAAAATGCTATAATTACAAAAATGCAGTTCAAGACAGATCAGTGTTTAATTTAATCCAAATGTTGACATGATACCCCTGACCCTAACGAGACACGCTCCTAGTCAATAATTAAGAGAACCCAGCTAGATGTACAACACGACGCTCTGTGATTTATTGTTTTCAAATCCAATCAATGATGCAATCATCTTCCGTCTGACTATAATTACAGTTGTGCAACATATCGGCATTCAGCTAATTAATATATCGGCACTCAGCGAATTCTAAACTATTATTTTATTTATTCCATTTTTTTTAAAGCTGAACTTTCTCTTGTTCGTTTTTTACAATAGTACTTTGTGTGTTCAGTTCACTGATGGTGTCCCTCGTCGCGGTTATTTCTGAAATTGTGACTTTGCCTTAAGGTTTCCGCGAAGATCTTCATGACCATACAACACTTCGATCTCAAGAGCCACAAGTATCACTTAGTAACTAAAGTTGGTTTTCCTTTATGAACGGCTGAAAGGGATTGCAGACGCCCCAAAGCGAGTTTAAAAATTAGCGCCCTTGGTATGCATAGTTTAAGATTCCATTTTGAAACCAGTATTCAACCAAATAAAATAATAAATAAATACATTCATAATAAAAAGAAAAAATACACAATTTGCCAGTTATTTAAAAATCAAATGTCTCGTCTTTCGATCTACTTTCAAATGTATGGAAGGAAGACAAACAACAAAACTCGATATTTTTAACAATTAATTTTGACTCAAAAAAGAACCAAATGTAAACTCAGATCATAACCTGATGTAATAATTAATTCGTAATATTATAACAATCAGAGAAATGTCAGCGCTTGTTTAGATCTTGGGGGGGCGTACTGCTACGAGCTATTACTTACCCCTGGCTACACATTCTATTTCGTCTAGGTCACACCAAAAATGTTGCCCTGTAGAACTACACGAAGCTTAACAAGTCTTGTGATAGAGGCCTAATCTATTCAATGGTCAAGCTGTTAAAACAAACTTTCCGTAAAAGTATATTTAAACCAACATCGTGTTGCCTACAAACATCAAACAACACGATGGTGCATATGCCGACAAACATCAAACAACACTGTGGTGTATATTTTTACAAACATCAAATAAAACTGTGGTGCATATGTCTACAAACATCAAACAAAACTGTGGTACATTTGTCTACCAACATCAAACAACACTGTGGTGCATATGCCTACATACAAAACCAAAAATTTGAACATTTGTATGCCAATGATTAACATGTAACATAAGTTCATTCAATTAGCATTCACAAACAAAAACAACCTTGTGTGTATTTCAAGTGTATTTACATTATTACCTCTGCCTGCCGTACATCGTAGCACACACACAAAAGTGTATTGTAACCATAACCCTACTCTCAGTATTATATATATTTATATATATAGTATTTAAATATATAAAATGTTAAAAAAAATGTTTTTAACGTATTTTTAAAAAAAAATAAAATTAATGAAAATCTCATCAAACTGATTATTACTGTAGTGAAAATCAAATGATTCCAATTGTCATGTTATTTATTAAAAAAAACCCAACAAATAGTAATTTACATCACTTAAGTAAAATTAAAAATCTAATTTGAAAAATGGGGATATTAGTGAATTTCCGCCTCAACTACCATTTAAAAATATGAAAAAATAATAATAACCATAAAGAAAAATTTCCCACTCAATTAGTTTAAAATGGTCTCTGCTCACCTTTACCAAAACAAACCCATTATCTACTTTCATAAAGTGATCATTTAAAGCACTCTGACAAGTCAAGCGAGAGAAATATCGTTAACAGTGTCGGGGTCTGACAGATGTCTGTCCCACATCAACACAGTCACAAGCTGATCCATGTTTAGTGACGTCAATTATCGTGCCAAGCAGACCTGTCATTGATTTATCGTTTACAATAGTTGCAGACGTCGACACAATCTTTTGCCGTGGATTGAATTAAATCCCAATTGAAATTTATTTCACAAACATTTTGGCAGCCTAAAGGCAGAGCTCGCCGGAGGCTCGACAATTGTTCCGTTAAGACGTTTATTTAAATCGAAATCTGTCAAAGAATTCAATTGATATTTAATCTTCGTTAGATTAACTTCACTCGAGCCTACATTTCTATCTCCAAATACTTCAAATGATCGGGCAAGAACGACTGAACCACAGCTGAAGCCATTCGCGCGTAAACATGTCATCTAAATATGTTTAAAGTTTGAGATTTGATTTGAAGTTACTTTATAAGGCGCTCTAATGTGAGGTGATTTGTAGAGTCGCGGGGTGGGCTCGAAATGAAATAATCGATTTCGGTAGTTTAAAACCGATTACCGCCAAGCTCCGTGCCTGGAGAGCTCATTGCACTAAGGTAAAACTAATTATTTGATGGCTCAACAGTTCATTCTTGTTTAAAATATCTGCAAATAGCAAACCCACGTGACTCAAGGCCAACAGCTAGAGTAAGTTGTGTAAGTAATCAAATTCTTTCCCTGAAAAGTTGCCACGTCCTCGAAACAATTAAGGAATGAGTTATTTTGCACTTAGAAAACAAAAATGAAAAACAAAGCAAAAACAACACACACAAAAAAACAACAACAACAAAACAATGATTTAAATCTCATTTTATTAGCAAACCTGGGGCACGTCCCAAGGGACACGTGATCAGAATCTGAGTGTTTCATTCCAAAGTAGGTTTGTAGAAATTCTAGCACTGATGCGAATTTATCACTTTGAGAAATATGTATTTAAAGGGATATACCGTTTTTAAGATTGTATCCTCCACACTCAGTAACATTAACTTTCTGTTTTATATTCTCTGATGTCGTCTTTTAGACAATGTTCTTGCTTTGATTAAAAAATATTTAGGCAAAGACAAACAGTAAACAAAGTTTTTAGAGAACATAGTGATAACAGTTCGTCAATTGCAAGAAATGGACAGTGTTATGCGACAATCTGCGATGGAGTCATTAGAAAATACCCAAAAGCTCAGCGGATACCAGGGCAATAGTAACGTCACGTCTTCTCATACAAGTTCTCCGCTGGCCACTGCCGCTGGTCTGCTGAGTGACCACGCGACGCAGATTTTCTTCATCGTCAACTACGTGGTGTTGAGCACGGTGATTAGTTTGGTGGGCATCGTTGCCAACAGCCTCAACATCTGCGTGCTGGTCAGGCAGGGCTTCAGCAACTCCATGAACATCAGCTTCATGGGGATGGCCGTCTCGGACATGGCGAGTCTGGTCACGCTTCTCTGGCTGAACGTCTGTCTGTGTCCCTTTCTGGACGGCGTGTTCAACGAGATCCACTACCTGTTCGGCGCCTGGCTCCACGGCTGCGCCGCCCGTATCACCGGGTGGATCACGGTGTACATCACCATAGAACGTTACCTGTCCATAGCTCGACCGCTGCGTGTCAAACAAATGGTCACTCCTCGGAGGACTGCCTTGACGGTCGCGGGGATCTACGCGGTCAATCTTTTCACTCTCGTACCGGAAGTCTTGACAGTTTATCTGGACTGGAACATGTTCTCCGGTCCCACTCTCCACGCGATGCACAACCTGGGGAGCAGTGTCGGCAGCCTGACCGTGGAAGGTTTGGTTTTTGCCGTCCACGCGGCATTGACGATGCTGGCGTTTGTCGCACTGGCCATTTTCACCATTGTCCTCGTCATAAAACTCAAAGAAAATGCCACCTGGCGTAAAAAAGTGACGTCCGACAGGAATCAGACCGAGTCCATTTCGGCGCGGGACAGAAAAGTTGTCAAGCTGATCATCACTGTGGCAACGCTGTTGATTGTCTGCTACGTCCCGACCGTGACCTTGTCCATCGTGTCGTGCAGCGTGCCGGCGTTCAGTCTCATAGGGAAAGAGTCGAACATTTTCTACGTGGCGTGGTCGTTCGCTTTCATCACCCACTCCATCAACTCTAGCGTCATCGTCGTGCTGTACGTCAAGATGAGCTCTAGGTACAGGCAGACGTTCAGCATCATGTTTGGCCAATGTTGGAACAGCAGGCGAGACCCGGATCTCGAATCGTCACGTGATGTTGGCTACGGTGACATCGGCAAATGTTAAACCAAAGTAGGGGTCTATCATGATCTCCAATGTCTGAGATATTTGTATATTTATGACTAGTCGCAAACGTGATTTATTAAAAGTTCCATTTTGTTTTATTACAACAGGAAGAAAATTTTTAAATTTTCTTTATATTTAGGAATTTGAAAATATTTAAGAATATATCCGAGCATTAATGGCCATGAGTGAGAACCGGAAAAATAGAGTGGGAAAGTAATTCATTTCTGTACGTTTCAAGTCTTTTCATGTTCACAATAAGATCAAAGTCAGATCAATTTCGTTACTTCTGATCATAAGCTTCATAACAAATACACACATGAAAGACTAAAAACAACAGATATGTTTGAAATCGAAGTAAACATCAATGTTTTACTGAGCTTCATAACTCAAATTAAAATTTTATTTCAAATTAAAATGTTTTGATTTTTTGAAATTGTTTGGTATCCATAAAGATTGTAAATTTTAACTGCAGCTAAAAATTAAGGAAGAACCGGGTACCGACACTGATAGCTGTATTTGCCGAATTATTAGCAGACCCGGCACATAGCAGGACACGGACAAAATGGAGCAGTGTCCGGGTGTTCAAAAAGTGTTCTCTTTTCATTTTCTATGATGTGTTCGACCCAATGTAAAGAAATGAAAAATACATTGAATAGAAAATAAAATTATTTATATTAACTTCGTTTTTGTTTGTGGTTTGCTGGCTGACTGGTTGGGTGGCAATATCTTCGGACGGCGAATTGGCCCACTTCCCTTCAAGCTATCAAGCTGAAACTTGGGCACATAAACTCGTTGCCAATGACAACATATTATTTCGATTTTTCAGCCCCAGCCCCCAAAAATGCACTCTTACTGTTTTCCAAGGAGAAAATAAATGAAATATCCAATAACTGGGCAATTTAAGATACTTACAAAATAAGTGCGTTTGTTGTGTAATATTTTCTTGTGTTTTTGTCTGATGTATTCTGTGAAATAAATATGCGGTGTAAATGTGGTTGGGACTTTAAAATATTAACATAATTCACGAGGGGGGGGGCGTGAAAAAAATATGCGGTTGCGAGCCTGGTTTGGGGGGGGGGATAGCTGGATTGAAGATTCTTATAAAGAGCTTTACTTGAATGCATATTTTGTCAAATTTTTCTGCCTGGGTTGCAAAATCTTCGGACGGCTATTTGACCCACTTCTCGTCAACCCACCGAGCTGAGCCTTGGCACATATACTCTTTGCCAATGATTAAAAACTATGAAATTGGGATTCTAATTAAGTGCGTTACTTGAACTTGAATAAATATTTGTCAAACTTTCAGCCTTAACCCAAGTTTGCTTGCTATTACATTTTATAAATGATTTATACGAAACACCTCGGTTTTAGGGTTTGTAATTTTTAAAAATTCGCTTTAATTATGCAATTTTGCATATTTATTTGTATCAGTCAAATCTTGTAAATTCTATAGTTGACCTTTTCCCTTCATCGGATGGACTCAAAATTTTGATGGCCACTCAGTCTCGATGACAGTAAAACGCTGCATGATCACCAGGTTAGCAGCAGTCTCCATTTTGGACCACCTATAACAATATAACCAGGCCATAAGTAATGATAATAAACGGTAATAAAGACTTAAAATTACAAAACTGAAATCATTAAAAAAAACTTTTTATAAACACGCTGTGATAAAAATGCACGAAAAATTATAAAATAAATGTTGATACACTCTAGGATTTTCTCACAATTAATCATGGCTACACCAATACAGACAAGGGCGCCAAATAATGATTTTAGAATTGTTTCACGCAAGATGGTTTAACCTGGTTAGAATTGCTTTTTAAGTTTTTTTTTTTTTTTTTTTGTATTACTGTTGATGTTGCCCTGGTGAGCTAGCTGGTTGTGTAAAAGATA